GAGAGCCCAGTGACAGGCCAACGATAGGCCAGTCCACATGCATCCCTGGCCACAGCCATCCATCCATTCAGCCAGCCAAGGGGCCCTTCAGTGACTTGAGGGCAGGAAGCTCACAGGAAGAAGGAAGACAGTGAGCAGGGAGAGGACGAGCCTAAAACACGAGCCCTAGCAGGAGGCCTGGCAGAGCAGTCACGGGCCTGGTCTCCACACCACCGCCATTTACCAGCCGTGCCATCTTGGACAAAGATCCCTTACCTCAGTTTCCCCCAAAATAGTACCTAACTCATAAAGTTGTTGTGAGGTTTAAACACATGTAAATTATTAAGTACACGTGAGATGCGTGTGCAAGGTGCCCAGAAGGCTGCCTGGTACAGAATAAGTTAGCTAGTAATATTAAGTAAATAATAAGATCTGCAAAGATAAAAACAACAGTCATGAGGTAGGGAGTGACTGGGGCTACGAAATGGGGTGGAGTCAAGAAAGCTGCTTGGAGGAGGTCACGTGAGCTGAGACTTGCCAGGCTCGCAGAGGTCTGGGGGACAGTGTTCCAGGCAGAGGGAACAGCGCCTGCAGAGGCCCTGAGGTGGGGATGAGGGGCGTGCATTCAAGGGCCGAGAGCATCCACAAAACCAACGTGGCCGGAGTGGAATGCGCGCAGGGGAGTCAGCAGGAGATGGGGCCTGGCACCCTACGGGGAGGCACCAAGTCCTCGTTGCTTCAGTCCGGACTGCTGACCCTCCCTGGCCTTTGCCTAAGGATACCTTCTAAAACACTCAGACCAACCAAGAGACAGAGAGAAGGGGTCTGAGTGAGTTGAGGGAGTGAGATGGGGATGAATTTAGATTTGGCAGGCTCTCCTCCAAGGCAGGATACGTAACTGCCCCATGCCCTGTTTTCCCAGCATTTTGCTATGCTGACGTCTAGGAATTCCTGCCCTGGTACCCCCTTTCCTATCTTCTGCCAGAGAGTGATGGGCAAGACCCTGCCAGGAGAAATGGCTGGTTAGCCTCTGTCTTAGGGTATCTCAGAGAAAGGGGCACAGGATCACCCCTACTTCCTACCTCATGGGCTCATCATGAGTCAAATGTAACCAGGAGAAATCCCTGGAGAGGCAAGCGATAGCTGATACCATCATCTCTGCTCTGAAGCTCCTGCAGACCTCAGGGGACGGGTCCTGACCTCTCTCCACCAGGGAGAAGAGGACACCTGCCCAACTGAGAACTCTCACGCCCCGGGACAGACGCATGAACCAGGGAGGGATAGGAGAAGCTGTCTGCACAGCCTAGTCTGCGGGAGAGGCGGGCAGAGCGCGATCACACCATTAATTTACTCCGAGGCTGCCCCTTCTCCAATCCCTCCAGGCTCGGGGGGTGTCCGGCCGAGGTGAGCGGGGAGGGTGAAACCGACATGGGGGTGCCGCTCACTCAATGTCCTCTCTCCAACTCCAAGCCAGAATCAGATGGGGAGCCAGGCCAGCCCCAGTGGAGAAACGGCTGCCAGCTAAAGGGCCCATCAGGGGAGATTGTGCGGGGACGAGGCGTACATGTGCCAGACCTAAGATAAGTACACTTCGGGGTGGTAGAAGGAAACAGCAAGTATCTTTAACAGTGATCGCCAAGTAAATCTCTAGGGAAAAAAAATCCTATTTCCTTTTTTCTGCGTATCTATTTATAGCTTGCCAGAACTCAGAATGCGGCTGGGTCAGGTCATCATCCCCAAAGGACCAGTCTTGCTGGGAGAGGGAGGGTGACCCTTAGGGCCTGCTGAGGAAGGGGCAGGCGAGGCCCCTGCTGTGTGTCTGGAGGGGAAGGAGGTCGTGTGTACATCTCAGGAAAGGCGGCCCAGAGCCCCTGGGAAAAGGGGTGGGTGTTGAGGTCTCTTCACTTGCCTCTGTGACTCAGGAGTGAGGGGTCAAGACACTACTCCCTCAGTAACTAGGCCCAGGGTCCACCAGACCTTGTCCCCTGGCATCTCCTTGGAGATTGGAGCCCCTGGGGCATCACGTGGGGTCTTGGGTCAGGACCTGTGTCTGGCTGGGGAAGGGCTCAGTGGGAAGTGGAGGGTCAGTTGGAGGTGGGTGAAGTCTCTGGGGGCAGTGGGCTCATGGCCTGGGTGGAGGGTGGGAGGGACACATGCTGAGAGGTGCACCCAGTTCAACCTGCTAGTTTTAGGGTCACACAGGCTGGAGTGGAGATTCAGAGCCTGAGTTCTGAGCCACACGGAACTAGACCTGAGTCCTGTGTGACATCAGGCAAATGGCTTCACCTCTCTGAGCCTCACTTTCCTCATCTACAAAATAGGATGATCCTAGCACAGCCTCCAAGGTCTGTGGAGAGGAAGAGAGGAGATAATGCATTTGGTCTGTAAGTGCTCACTAATATCTCCTGCTATTAATACTGACAGTCGCTCTTACCACTACAGCTATCAGGAGTAACAATGGCCCAGTCTCCTTAGTTTCAGAAGGGGCTTCTGTCCACTAGACCAGTGGTTCTCAACTGGAGGTGACTTGGCCCGCCAGGGACTGCTGGCATTGTCACAACTGGGGAGTTGCTACTGGCATCCAGGGCTTAGAAGCCAGGGATGCTGCTAAACATCCTACAATGCACAGGACAGCCCCTGGCGACAAAGAATTATCCAGCCCCAAATGAGGTAGGTGCCGAGGTTAAGAAGCTCTGCTCTAGACCTGCGCTGTTCAACATATACAGTAGCCGCCAGCTACCTGTGGCTATCGAGCGCCTGAAATGCGGTTAGTCCGCATAGAGGTGGGCTGTAAATATAAAACACACATTGAATCTCAAACACCTAGCAAGAAAAAGAGGATGTAAACTAGCTCATTAATAATTTTTATATTGATTACATACTGAAATGCTAATATTTGGGATATTTTAGGTTAAATAAAATATATATTATTATAACTAATTTTACCTGCTTACTTTAACCTTAAAAATGTGGCTACTAGAAAATTAAAAATTACACATGTGGCTCTATTTGTGGCTTGCATTCTATTTCCGCTGGACAGCGCTGGTCTAGACTGTACTGTTTCTCTTGGGGGTGGCGGAGAGTCTTAGAGGAAGTGCAGGTGGGAGGTGAGGGTCGCTGGGGCTGCAGCTGGTTTCTTGAGAAAGGACAAAGGGGATCGTCACACGTCTGCCCCCTGCCAGAGTCCACATCTCCCCTGCTCCCTGCCCCTACGCGGGCTCGGCCTCTCTCTGCCAGGACAGAGGGCGGGCAGGGGGCCTGAGCCTGAACCCCTTCTTTACTCCCCACCCCTCAATGGAGGCACCATGCCAGCCTTTCAGGCTGCACTAAAAGTGCCCCAGTGAACAAACAGGCGGGTATGGTGACAGCTGAGGCTTAGAGACGTGAGCATCCTGGCTCCTGTCCCACTCCCTGGCAGTGTCTAGTTAGGACTGGGTGGGTGCAGAAGGGAGGGGAGCGCTCCCAGGCCACTGAGGCCTGGACCACACTCCAGTTTTGTGTTATGACCTTCAGAAACCACCCCTGAGGTTTACATGTGGACAACTGAAGCCAGGGGCCAATGAGTGGAGAGGGTCCCTGGTCTGCATGGTGACCAGGCCCTTTGCTCTCAGGGAAGACCAATGCCTGATGAGGAAGAGGCTAGAGACGGGCCAGCAGGGCCTGGAGGCGACAGAGACAATGGGCTGGGGAGGATGTGTGGGAAGACACAGGGATGGGGTTTGGTGGGGGGGCCTGAGAGAGGCAGGGTGCTCCAGATGACAGAATGATTTGGGAGCAGTAAGCCACTTTGGCACTTCCAGCTTAGCTCAAGGCACAGAGAGGTTCAGGGGACTTGCCCAAGGGTATCAGCATGGGGTCCCCACCCCTGGGTCCTGCATTGCTCCCTCCTCTCAGTACTGACCCCTCCCACGCTAGCAGTGGGGAACATTTCAAATGCTTGGAACAGAGGGCTGCAGGATCCCACCCTGGACTCTCCACCCCTTCATTCACACCAGCCACACCTTCGCCAGACCTGCCCCATGCATGGTGGGGAGACAGGTCATTGCACTTGGCTGCTTCCTGGGGGCTGGGGGTAGCAGGGGATCCCTGACTTCAATTCCCCCAGCCCAGGTCCTGCTGTCTCAGAAATCCTGCACCCCACCAGAGTTCGTGGACAGGAGAACAGGGCCAGGGGGAACAGCATCCTGAACAGGAGAGCGCCTCTGACAAAGACTCCACCTCACACCCTCGGTCTGGGGGAACGAGGTCCCTCCCCGACCCCAGGGTGAAGTCAGGGGAAGGCATCTGGGGACAGGGAGCTCATGGCCAGTGCCTGGCGACAGGCAACCACCAGCAGCCCCCACAGGGCGAAGCTGGAGCCTAGGCAACCCCTAGGGCCAGATTCCGCCCTTGGGCAGCTCCCCTCTGGCCCTGCCCCAGCCCCTGGCAAATCCTGGAGGAAGCTCAGCTGATCTGGGAGTGGAGGGAGGGGCTGGGCTGAGGCGGGTGGTGAGCCAGGAGGGTCTGAGGGCGTAAGGGAGGTGCTGAGGGGAGAGCGGGGAAGGGAAAGAGGAGAGGATGC